GTACAGCTTTCTCCTGGGCCCTCAACTCCCTGGTGCTGCATTATCTCAACCACCAGGTTTTCCGGCTTAGCCTGTGTCTTCTGCCTTCTACACTATAAGCTCCTGCCGGGTTTATATTTCCAAAGCTTGGCTCTGATCGTTTTACTCTCCTGTTCATACATAAACCTGAATTTCTTTCCCTCTTCACACTGAAATAATTTCAGATGGGCGAAGGATGTATGTGGAATGAATGAAAAACTACAAAATCTTACTGTGCGAAGATTTTCTTCTAAGCAGAATGTTCAACTACAAAGCCATAAATAAAACTTTGGTACATTTGACTAAATAAAAGCAAAGAAACAAACAAAAAAACTTATCACAAGAAATAGCTTGACTATAAATAAATTATGACAAGATTTATGGCCAATGGCTGATATCCATAATTAAACACTCATTGAGATCCTGAAGCAAATGACAAACTGTGAGACCTTCGAAAAATGGACAAATGGAATGAATGGGAATTGCTCTGACAAATACAAATGTAGGTCACTAAAATATGAAAGATGCTAAACTTTGTTCAAAATGTCACCGAGAGGGGCGCCTGGGTGGCGCAGTCGGTTGAGCGTCCGACTTCAGCCAGGTCACGATCTCGCGGTCCGTGAGTTCGAGCCCCGCGTCGGGCTCTGGGCTGATGGCTCAGAGCCTGGAGCCTGTTTCCGATTCCGTGTCTCCCTCGCTCTCTGCCCCTCCCCCGTTCATGCTCTGTCTCTCTCTGTCCCAAAAATAAATAAACGTGGAAAAAAAAAAATAAAACAAAATGTCACCGAGAAAAATAGAGGTATCATTTTCCACCTGCTGTTCTTTTAAAATAAAGGCACAGAGCACCCAGTATTGGTGATCAGGCAGAGAAACAAGTACAAAACATATAGTCTTGGTGGGAATGTAAATTTGACAGACTTTGGAAGAACAATTTGACAGTATCTGTCAGAACCAGCTGCCCCAATGTTAGAAGTTCCCTCTGAATATACACTCCAAGACAGCCGTATAAGGATGGTTATTATAGTATTGTTTGCACTAAAACAAACAAACAAGAATGGAATGATGTAAGTATCCACTGTTTGGTGGCTAGTTAGGTAAGTAGTCAATAACACAGTGAAAGTTTCTGCAGTCGATGAAAAGAAATCTGGTAAGTCTGTGTGAACAGAACTGCGGGTGCTTTCATTGTGAAAGCGTGACGTCCAGTGCACGTAATATGATTACTCTCGAGTTAAAATCAATTCTTGTATGTTTTTCCTGTAGTAAATCCACAAAAGCAGCCCGTGAGAGGAAGGGGCATGAGGAAGGTGTGAGAGAGTGCAGACGTGTCTTTTTCATTTCGTATCTTTCTGAGACCTGTGCCTTGTCTTGTTAAAAAAATTGAAAAAAAAAAAAAAAAAACCAGGAAAAAGCAAACCATCCTCTCTTTCTCACCGAACAAAGACTAAACTCCGGATTTTGTCATTTTATTTTTTATTTTTTTAAATGTTTTTTTTTTTTTTTAATTTATTTTTGAGACAGAGAGATAGAGCAGGAGCAGGGGAGGGGCAGAGAGAGAGGGAGACACAGAATCCGAAGCAGGCTCCAGGCTCTGAGCCATCAGCACAGAGCCCGATGCGGGGCTCGAACTCACGGACTATGAGATCATGACCTGAGCTGAAGTCAGACGCTTAACCAAGTGAGCCACCCAGGCGCCCCTGGATTTTGTCATTTTCAAGCACTTTGGCCTCTGGCTCCAACCTGCCTGTTCAGCTTTATTTCTCATTACATTTTTTTCCACTTGATTTCCAGATCGGTGGAAATGCTGGTTTGGGCACCACACAGATCTTGTCATCTTGGTCTCCTCCCTGCTCCCCGGCTTCAAAGCCAGTTCCTTCTGCTAACGTGACTTCAGTCCTTCTCCGCGTGTTCGCGCCCACCCACATTTCAACCAGTATCTTTCTTTCAGCCTCCGCTGACACCCGGGCTAGAGCTAATCTCTCCCACCTGGGAAGTTCAGTTCTGTTTTGACACTTAACCTCTTGTTATAGTTAAGGCACGCCTGCTGCCCGCCAGGTGCACAACCCTGGACCGGGGCAGGATCTGGGACTGATTTACCTTCGTGACCCTGCCCCCCCCCCCCCCCCCACCGTGCCAGGCTCTGAAGTCAGCCATTAGGGTTTGTAGCACGTGGACAGTGTTAGCAGGCCTGACAGATACGGAGTCACGGGAGGCTTGACAGGATGTAATGTCCTTGAGTACGAGCAGAAGGAAGGACTGTCCCACGTGTGCTCAGGGGTGTGCTTTGGTGCAGCCCTTTTGCAGGACCGATGAATGGCTGTTAGCCGCTCTGGGCACGCATCGAACCCCGGGGTGTCTGGGGTGCGGCAGGAGACTCAGGCCATTGATGCTTGACACCCGGATATTCTAAATTGGAGGGGGTGCGTGTGACCCCATAGGGTCCACATAGCCTAATTGGTGGCCACACCAGGATGGAGGTGCCCGTCTGCGCCCCCCCCCCCCAGCTTTATTCTCCTCCCAGAGTACCACACCACCTCTTTCTCCCAAAGAGCCTCATTGTTTCTGAAGCTCCCCGTAAAAAAAAAAAAAGGTTGAAGTCCACCCATTCAAGGTGCTGTCTCATCATTTGTCTAATCGGGAGTTGCATTCCTGAGCCGCAGACCTCTTTTCAGAATTTGCCTAGTTGAGATGTCACTTCCCTGACAGTGAGGCTCTTAGGCTCAGCGAGAAAATCACCATGTGCTCCCAGCGCCCCCCCTCCCCCCCCCCCCCGCCCCTTTCTCAAATTTTCCCTAACAATTAACGCCACACTAACTTGACACCCTTTTTCCTTGTTTGGCTTTGTAAACCCTGGTCCCTTTTTCTATTAATTCCAGACATTAATATTTTCTTTCACGCAACTGACGCCATTCACCCGTGAAACCGTTTGAACATTATGTAGCTGTCAGGATGCCTGGGGATTACCCAGTATGCTTTGCCTGTGAGAAAGTGACACCGCCGAGGCCTAGTTTTGAGATGTTTATTTTGAGAGTGCGCTGACAGGCATGAAGGCCCGATCCCAGAGTGGCAATTTCATTTAATTAAAGGCCTCTTTTTATTAGAGTCCCTCCCCACCCCCCCCGCCCCCCACACACTTTTTTTTATTTATATATATCAGAATGATTGTTAAAGTCTGACTTGCCGGAGGTGTCCCCTTGTACTGTGAGAGGGAGTGGGGGCAGGTGGCTCGCTCACTAGTCAGTGTGCCACTAAATGGCTGTGAATGCCTTCCTGTTTTACTGTCCTGTCCGGAGCTGCCAACTAACATGACGTGTGTGTGTGTGTGTGTGTGTGTGTGTGTGTGTCCGAGATTAAAATAAAGACCGCTGGACTTCTGCCCCCGTGTCGGCAAACGTAAAATGTGAGAGTCGAGTGCGTACGTCTGCATATTTGCGGTTGAATTTCTCGGTCTTCCGGTTCGAAGTCTTGCAAAACTGGAAGGCTCCCCCACCGCCCCGATCATTCTACCTCGGTTCCTCTGTTGAGACTTCTAAACGAGGTAGATGACCTTGCTGGATAGTGACACCTGTTTCTGTTAAAGAAGGAAGTTGGGGAAGATCGTGTGTTCAGTCATTGCTAATAATACTGCTGGTAAATAGAAACCCAAAAGAGGAGCTTGAGAGAATAAAAGCTCGGTAGTCACGACCTGGCAAATGTTTGCAACAGAGTAGCCGAATTAATTTTTGGCCTAATGGTTTCAGACTCTGTAGGCTTGACTTTCTATCAGGAATTCGTGATCGATAAATGTTTGGGGGGCCTGTGTTGGGCACCGTCCACGGCACCTGGGACACATCGGTGGATGAACCGGACTGTGGGTCTTTCGCACTTACTCATGGGTGCCTGTTTCGCAGTTAATTATACTATCCTCACTCTTCCGATCAGATTTTTTTTTTTTTTTGTCTTTCTTTGTGGCATTATCGGCTGGCCTTCAGTTATGCCCCCACTGCTTCTGCATTCATTCGTGGCTTCTTTATTCATCATTCATGAGGTCTTAATGCACAAGTGTGTCCCAGATATGACTTGTCTATTGGCAGGCATGCAAGACACATGCACAGAATTCATGGTTTATGTTGACCTGCCATTTTCTTTCTTCCTTTTTTTTTTTTTCTTTTCCTCCCCTCCACTGTTCCGAAAGTGTGGAGGAAGGTTTGTCACAGCCGTTCCTTCTGCTTTGGGTAGAGTGGCTGGAGGGACATTATTCATTCTTTCTGGCGTCTGTTTCAAAGCCCCCCGGGCGGGTCAGGGGTATCTGCCCTGAGGCCAGCTGAGGGCCTGGCTGGTGTGGCATTCAGCAAGGCCAGGGTGAGACAATGTCCCCGGCTTCACTGCAGGTGCAGGAGGCAGCAAAGAATGGCAACTTTGTCGATTTAATCTCCACGCCCCCCAGTGCCCCCCGTCTTCATTCCCGTTGCCCCATCTTTTGAGCCCGGGGTTCCCGAGATTGATTGATTTATTATGATTATATTCTAAAGTACAGCGTTCTGTCGAGTCAGCCATCTGGCCGGACGTTTGAAAATGGTTTCTTTCCCTTTTCGCCGACTCGCTGCCGTTCTTGGGAGGGGCGGGTTTCTCCCCAGGACTCCTGACACCGTGGGCTGGAACGGGTGGATTTTGTCTCTTGCATTTTTGTGGGTAGCATTGCGATGCCACACCCGGGATGAAACGAAACAGAAAAAGCTCGAGGAACCCATTGGTGTTCCACCACTAAGAGCAAAGAAGAATCAGTCATTTACCCCAGATGGTTTCTTTTTTTTTTTTTTTTTTTTTTTCCCCTCTCGTCTCCACCCCTGGGGCCTTCAATCTCTGCACAGGGAGACATTTGTTCTGGGCGTGCTCAGGAAAACGCTTGCAACCAGGGGAGTGTAGAAAGAACCTTTACTTAAGGGAGATCCTAGGCGTTGACGTGCATTTTAAAAAACTGTCTCACTCTCTCTTTCTTTTTAAAGGCACCAGCGATCCCTATGTGAAATTTAAGCTGAATGGGAAGACGCTGTACAAAAGTAAAGTCGTATATAAGAACTTGAATCCAGTGTGGGACGAGGTAGTTGCACTTCCCATTCAGAGCCTTGATCAAAAGCTCCGTGTGAAGGTAATCCCAGATGGCTTTCAAGTCTGCTCTTTTATTAAAAACGCTGATGTCAAAATAAATAAATAAATAAATAAATAAAAACGCTGATGTCTCAGCAATCCTTGCCCCCTTAAAAAGTCCACGTCCCCAAATTCTTTTATCATTGTTCGGCTCTGGGCGGAAAAACATTCGTGTGCAAGGGATTATTTGTACACTTCGTTGAAAGTGTGTGTTTTGTTTTCTCGGATCAATGGTGTATACGCCACAGAAAATCAGAGTGAAAATAACATCCCCATTGATTGTATTTAAGCTTACCGCACGTGGAAGAATTATGACTGTCGGTGCAGTGGCGAAAAGTAGGAAAGCCGTTCTCATTAGGAATAACTTTATACTTAATAGAGCTTTCCGCTACCGGTTGGAAGCACCGATTGCTCAAACATCTGGGTTACAACTGCATGAGTTGAGTGCAGGATAGGGTTGCTAGAGAATATTTAGCAAATTTCTATTTAATTGGCAGATCTGCTCACCGTGGAAAATACTAAATTTTAATGAGAGACCATTTAAACTACAGAGAGTGGTCCATTGTGCATGACAGTGGAATGCATATGAGTACTGCCTTAAGAGTATTTTGTGCTATTGTTTTCGCTGTGGTAGGCAAAGTGGTCAAGTTTGAATAATTTCGATCTCTCCATCAACTTGGCTACATTCCTCGTTAACGGTACTCTGCAGATTAGTTTTTAGATCTAGAAGATTGAATTCAAAATTCCCAGACTATTGCATTTATTGATAATTCGGCAAACTCAGTTGGTTTGCCATATTAATGTGCATTACTGGCCTCTTCCCTCTTTGTAGGTATATGATCGGGATTTAACCACATCCGATTTCATGGGTTCGGCCTTTGTCATTCTCAGAGATCTTGAGCTTAACAGGTATTGTATTTTTACTTTCTAATTGTTCTTATGAATTGTAGAGGGAGCTCAACATAAGGTTAAATGGCACCTGTTTAGATCAAATGACAAAAAAAAATCTGAATAAATGAAAGGGTGCTTTAAAATGTGAATTTTTCTATTTTAGCTTTTAGCTCCCAAACCTAGGAGTCAGACGTTAAATCGTCCACAGTGTGTTCTGGAATGTGTGTTGGAGTTTGAACTGTTAACATTCAGGTTCATTAACCTGTCTAACTTAAAAATAAAACAAGTATTTAAATTTTATTTGGGCAGTAAGGGGAAAGAAGCCATTAACCAACTGTTGAACAAGGCAATGCCAAACAATTCCCCTGCTCTGAAGATGGCTGTGTTATTTTTACTGAATCGGGTGCTTTGTAAAACTCGTGTCTCACCCTTAGGCAGAGGTAGGAGAGGTTTGCCATAAGCTCCCGATGCAGTTTGAAACTATCTGGTACTGCCCCTAAGTGCTAATGTCATTTGTTGCCTTTTGCTTGTAGGACGACTGAACATATTTTAAAATTGGAAGACCCCAACAGTTTAGAAGAAGACATGGGGGTCATTGTGTTAAATTTGAACCTAGGAGTAAAACAGTGCGATTTCAAGAGACATGTGAGTGTAACCCTTTTGTTCATTTCAAAATTCTTCACCGCAAATGTCCTTTGATAACTGGGTTACCAGATGGCTGGCATTTTTTTTGGCGGGGGTAATTATTTTGGGGGGGGGGGAACGAATCATTGTATTGAGATGTAAAGTACCTATTTGTGGTTATGCACATCCTTTCCCTTGGAACCCTGGAAAGAAAATCCTTTAAGGAATAATCTGTTTTGGCTAGGGATGTGGATAGTGTGGCTGTTATCAAAATGCATATCCTGCTTATGGTTCCCTTGTAACAGATCATCCAAAATATTTTTACTAAGTGGTAAGGTTTCCATTTACTATTTTCTTAGGTACCGGATGGCACCGGTATTTTTCAGCAATGCAAAGCAGTTCCCGGGATTTAATTAATACATTGTACGTTATTAGGGTGATCAAGTACATATTTGCAGCATTGCAATTTCTTCTGGTGCTTTTTTTGTTTGTTTGTTTGTTTTTAGCTGCACGTTTTCTGTTGGGAGTAGTTTCGGGAAGATATAAATTTTAATATCCTTCGATCTGTTATTTTCTGTACGTTTCTAGTTACTGCATCGCTTATTGAAGACCTCTCTAACACCAACAAAGCATTGGATTTTATGACGACATGACTGGGGCTCTGTTCTTATGAGCAAATAATGTGAATACAAATCATAATCTTATTATATATTTGGGGATCAGACCTTATAATTCCAAGAATTAAAAGAAGAACAAAAAGCATCTTTGATCGTGACTTATTTGAAAGGCGTTTTTTAAAGCCAACTAAAACACCTGCTTGGAAAAGGACTGAAATGCGTTCAAACTGAAGCCTGTTTAGAATCTGATATGGAAATCTGAAGCCTGTTTATAAATTAGGCTTCTACAAGTGCTTCTTGAATTGAGTCAGTAGGGTCGATGTCTTCATTTTGACACCACCTTTGCTCGTAGATGGAATTTATTTTCATGGTGAAAATCACGACTGATTTGCAAGGACACTCACAGAAGAGAGCACAAAGCAGTCGTGAAGCTGAACAGTGATTTTTCAGTTGCCAGAGAGCCCACAAAATAGTTGCTGTTTTTAATTTGGATTCTTAGGAGAGTTTACTCGACAGTAACTGGGGAAAAAACAAAACTTCCCATATATTATTATTTTTTTAAAAGAAATGGTACTTTTAAAACTCGAATCTTAAATTGATGTTGAAAGTAAACTTTTTTTTCTTCAACTCAACATAATACAGCTTCTCTTAGCCTAGACAGTATTGCTGCTGGATTCATTGTCATGTGCTAGTAGGTGACTGGTTCCTTGAGCTGGATGCCCTCAAAAAGAACATTCGAGGGGCGCCTGGGTGGCGCAGTCGGTTAAGCGTCCGACTTCAGCCAGGTCACCATCTCGCGGTCCGTGGGTTCGAGCCCCGCGTCAGGCTCTGGGCTGATGGCTCGGAGCCTGGAGCCTGTTTCTGATTCTGTGTCTCCCTCTCTCTCTGCCCCTCCCCCGTTCATGCTCTGTCTCTCTCTGTCCCAAAAATAAATAAACGTTGAAAAGAACATTCGATATAAGTAAGCATCATCTGCCACAGGAGTGAGCTATTTCTGGCTGCTATGTTCTGAAACTTCTCTTACATATTTAAGTGGGGTTGGCAAAGTTGGATAACTTCTCATGAAAATAGCTGCCGATTCCCCTATTCCTCCTGTGAAATTTTCCTGTGGTATATCGGATTATGTTTAGCAGTCCTACCGGCCCTTAAAATATATTTAAATATGGCCCAAATTTGCAGTTTTAAAGTAATGCCGTTTCAGTTGAAATTAATTTCCAGTGACGGAGCTATTCATCCTCGATGCTGCCTGAAGTTTCTTTTGTAAAACCTCTCAAAGGGTATGTTTTCAGAGTCGTAAATGTAGCCACACTCGTCATCTTACTGAGTTTGGTCCTTTTTTCCTTAGACCCACCACGTCCTGTCTTCAAGAGTTTGTCAGCCTGCCTGCTCATGTGCTTTCTCATTTTCTTTATTCTTTGCTTATCTGGCAGAGGTGTAGGGTAAAATATATTTCTTGTCTGTATATTTTATGGGATATTATAATATAGAAAGCCCTGCCCACTCCCATTTGTTCTGATCAGTAGTTTCATTTTTTCTGTTTGTGTACTTGATCAAAATACACCCAAGAAAGGAATAATCCTTCCTGGGCCCTGTGTGGTTACTCGGCTTATGCAGTTTATATCGGGGGGGGGGGCCCTTTGGATAGAATAGGTATCAGAAAACGTTCATTCTTTTCATTCAGTGAAAACCCATTTTTATATTGGGTTTTTATTATTTAAAAAATTTTTTTTTACATTTATTTATTTTTGATAGAGACAGAGCACAAGTGGGGGAGGGGCAGAGAGAGAAGGCGACGCGGAATCCAAAAAGCAGGCTCCAGGCTCTGAGCTGTCAGCACAGAGCCTGACGGGGGGCCCGAACCCACAAACTGTGAGATCGTGACCCAAGCTGAAGTCGGACGGCCGACCGACTGAGCCACCCAGGCACCCCTATATTGGGTTTTTAAATGGGAATAACTAACACCGAAGCCTGGAAAGACAATAGATCATTTGATCGGGAATCACTTTGTTTGTAAATTTCCATCACGACTGTCTTTGTCACTTTGGATCCCAGGCTGACAACAATCTGAACTTGAGCAAAGTGACTACAGACTGACCCTCACGTCCAGAGATTTAAGGATTGTATGTAGGCCATGGTACAGTTGGAAGGCTGATGAACCTGCTGTCTGCTTCTTTTTCTTGGCAAAAATAGGATTCTAGTTCGAATTGTGGGCTCAGTCAGCAGACTTGCCTGGGTTTGAATCCCAGCTCCGCTCCTTTCTAGCTTCGAGAAATTAAGCGATCAGGTCACATTCGCAGAATTACTTAACCTCGCAGCTACAATTCCCTCATGTGTGAAATGAGGATAAAAAAAGTATCTCACAGGACTGTGAAGTTGGAGATTATCAAATGTAGTGCTTGGCATGGGGTCAATTGTCAATACTTGGTAGTTCTTCGGACTGTAGTAAGCAGACAGGCATATTCACTTTCCATTAATTTCCTCATCTCTTTTGTTGATCTTTTATGATCATTAACGCATCCAATGAATTCTAGGTCAGAGGGTCCTAAATAGCCATGCATACCTAGAAGACAGGAATTGATTTTGGTGCTTGTTTTGGTGCTTTGATTTTGTACTGATCATGTTTTTCAGTACCGTGCTGGGAAAATAGTAAAAGAACTGAGTTTAATACCCATATGGCAGCATCTGTGACCCTGCATCATGAGCTAGATGTTGAACTCCCAGTTTCACTAGGGGAAGTGTTTTTTTAATAAAGAATATTTTCAAGTTGTTTCTGGACCCCTGTTTCTGGTTGCTGGTCACCAGAATGTTAAGAGGATTTCCCCCCAAAGACCATTTATTTTCTGGTTTCTAACTTATGGGGAAGATGTATTGTCAAAGTGGATAGGTCATTCGCCTAAAGGTATTTTTTTCCTCAAGCATAATAGCAAGCGTGGTCTGCTCGATTAGATTCATAATTGTATTGTAATCTCCCAAATTTATCCAAGTTTTAACATCCAGTTAGCTGGTTAACCAGCCAGAGTAGAGCCTCACAGTACTGGACGGTGACGGGGGTAATGAGAGGATTTTGCTAGGAAAGAATTTTAATTGTAGATGAAATTCAGCAACCTTAGCATGACAAATGAGAGATCAAAAGAGAACAGTGGTGATGTTACTTGCCGTTCAGAAAATTTGTTCTTCCCTCCCTCGGTGCTGTATTAGCCTGTTTTTGCTTTTTTTTTTTTAATTGTGCAGCAGCAGTGGCTTAGATTTTTTTTCCCATTATTTTGAATATTGAGGCTTGATCAGGGGGGATAAATGGAATGATTGTTTTTAATATCAAAAAGTATGGAAACCTAAATATTCATGAACACTGTCCATGAACTTCTTAAACATTTTCGTAATACTATGAGAATATTTCAAGTAGGGGAAATCTGCCTTTCCAATTTGCGTTTAGAGGTGAAATAACAGAGTTTTGAGGCAATTAAAAACATCCTAAGGATGGAGATCCTTCTCATACTATGAACTGATACTTCTAAAGATTGAGCAGTATTTGTACGTCCTTGTCTTTTCATTACTGAACACTGTGGGAAAATCCTGTAACACGACCACAGAAACGTGAGTTTTCTGTTTCTGTTTTGTTGCTCCAACGTGTTTTCTCTTTGACCTCGGAACGTGGGTGTTAGTTGTTTGAATATAGTCCGCGCCATCTAACTAATCACAGAATCGTCATTAACGATTCTATTTCTCTCTTTCATTTTGCCATTGTTTCACCATCCAATGGACTCAATCCCTAGCGTTGGTCAAACCGGAAGCGGCTGAGTGCCAGCAAGGTAAATATAGTTGTTTTCTTTTTTATGCCATTTGGCGAAACGTTCATCTTTGTTGCAAGCACAAAGGTATACGTGATTGGTATTAACCAACTTTTACGTGCCACAGCATTCTCTTCCTCTCACTGTGGCTATGAATAAGAAGGAAACAACCTCCCTTTTACGTTTCGTGTAATAAGAGCATAGCCAGATGTTTGAACTTATATACTTGTTTTAGTGGTGACATTTTATAGGTGCCAGCCACGTTAGAACGTTCCACTTCATTAAGCCTGGATTATTTGGAGTGTAGCACAGTTAGGGTTAGTCCTTTAGGAAGTTATATACCATCAGATGGACACTAGCTTTGGTGTTGTAGGGGCATTACTGAGATTAACTGAGAGGGATAGGTGGTATCTTTTATAAATCTCTTTTATATTCCTCTTATTTTACTGTTTATTACCTTTGCTGCTGAGAGTTTCTTGAAAGATTTCTTCATGATGTACTGGCGATTTTTTTTTTTTTTTACATTGTTAGTATCGTTTTAAGCAATTATAAACTGCCGTCCAATTTGTAAAAGGTCTATGTGTATCAAGGTAGGAATGCATTATTCATTTATCTGGTTATTAAATTAATACATTGCAATCCAGTGATTAAATGTCAAAATTGGTGTAAGCATAAACAAAACCAAAAAGGTATTTGTAACTTAATTTAGCTCCTCTGCTACTTTCTTTAAGTTTATTTTTTATTTATTAATTAAAGTTTATTTTATGTTGAGAGAGACAGAGATAGCGTGAGTAGAGAGGGGGCAGAGAGAGAAAGAAGAGAGAGAGAGAGAAAGAGAGAGAGAGAGAGAGAGGGAATCGTAAACAGACTCCGAGCTGCCAGCATTGAGCCTGATGCAGGGCTCAAACTCACCGAACCATTAGATCATGACCTTGGACAAAACCAAGAATCAGATGCCTAAGGGACTGAGACACCCAGACGCCCCTCCTCTGCTCCTTTTAAAGAGAAATAACCAACAAGGAGGTGGCTGTGATGTGTGTGTGTGTGTGTGTGTGTGTGTGTGTGTGTGTATTTGGCGGATACACCGACCATCTCTGTGTGTACGTTTATTTACACACACACATAAGTGCACAAATCGTATACCAGCTCGAATTTCTCATCTCACCGTACTTGAGTTGTTCAGTGCTGCGTCAAACAAGGCAAATGAAACAGAGATTTTGAGTGTTGGTAAGAGTGTGTCTGTGGGGGAGAGAGAGCGAAAGAATTGTCACCTGACTGGCACTGGTCATTTAGGAGGAATAGCAAACTTTCCAAACCTTGCTTTTTAAAACCCAAAGGAACCAAAGCCTACCTCTTCTGCGACGCAGACAGACCCTTTGCATTTGGAACATGTTAAGGATAACTACGATAAGTTTTGTTAACCAGTTCACTTGGTATACAAGACTCTCTCTCTTTTTTTTTCTTTTGAAGTGAAATTAAGAGACGATAAATAATAATGTGAAACGGTCTCAGAAAATCCTCCAACTTTTGTCTTCTTCCTTTATAGTCACTAGAGGGTAGAAGATGATCATTTCTTGCCACAGAGGGGAGCCCAGCTCCTGCTCTCCCATATTAAGAGCTTCTGTGACCATCCGAAGCAGTAAAGTTTCCCGGCATGCTTTGGAGAAGCCTGACAAAGCAGTATTTTCTCGTTTATTGATTCTGCTGCTGCACTAAAATACTGGTACTGTACATCAATAACCATCTTTAGTTAGGGAGCTCCGGTCTGTGGAAGAAAACTGGCAGTTTGTGGAAGAACATAAAGGCTAGAAAGAAAAATTGTGAGCTTGGGGAATATTGGAGTCTAGGGAGGACAGGAGAGGTTATGGAAGAATGGCCAAAGGAATGAGGAAGGAGAGAAAAAATGTTGACGGCCTGGATAAAGATATCAAAAATATGAAAGGAACAGTGGATCCTGGAGACCAGTATTTATATCTGTACTGCAGAGTTGTGTCTGACCACAGCTGCTGTATTCTTTTCTTCCTTTCTTTCTTTTTTTTTTTTTTTTTTTATCCCTATCATGGTCGTTTCTAGAATTTTGACTTCAGTGCGCTGGGCTCAGAGACTTAATAAATGCCCAGACCCTCCGTGCCTGTTTAATAAAACCTTTGATGAATAGAGCTCGTTGAATGCTACTCATGATCTTACAGGAGAGATGCGGTTTATATCTTGGTGGAGAATTTCAATTGTCAGGTTAACTTTTCACAGCTTAGAGTTTGCAGGTTTGGGAGAGGAAAGTGAGAGAGCTTCGAATTTCGCTTATGAAATTGAGTCACGTGGAAAATCTGGAGGTCCTGTGATTAACCTTCTGGAAAAGTAGTTAAAATGCCCTGATCAACCTATCTTGGTATTTTTAAACTGTCAGCTGCTTTTTTTTAGGATTTCTATATTATATTTAAAAATTAGGTAACAGAAGTTTGACATAGAGAAGATTACTCAGCTATGACTATCTAAAATGTTACCAGTCCGAAGTAGTATATTATCTGTAAAATGTTGTTGACTTTTTCACCTCAATCTTATTCTTTTAATGGCTTAACTTTATTTAGATGATTGCTTCTTAAGCCCTGTAAGTTTATAATTTTGCATCCATCCATAGAGGCCAAGGGCGGCAGACTCTCTTGTGAAGTGTTTTCTTACTACGTTGACCTTGACCGTAACGTAGTAAATTTGTAGAGATCGCCTTTAAAAGTAGGTTCAGATTTCTCCCAAAGCCTCTGTTTACCTTCTGATGAGCCTTTTTCACATGAGAATTGAGAATTTGATTTCATAGGGCCTGAATCAGATAACTAGCTCTTTTTAGACATTTATTCTACACAATCTTGGCTGTGAACAGATTTCCAAACCTTCCTCTCTCTTTCTAATGCATGTAACACTTAACAGAGATGGAAAATTAACAGCAGTGACTTCTCTAATATCAGATAGCTTAATGGGGGGGGGAACCCTGCAAATCACTAACTGTATTCAGAAATCTGAGTACGTACATCCACACCTACCTGCTTCCCCTGCACTTTCATTTGGGTTTTTGTAGGTTCTGTGGCTGACCACAGTTCTTTATTTACACTTTCTTTTACTTTAGATGCATTTCCCCTGTGATGAGAACCTTGCGGGGTGGGGGTGGAGGGTTTTCGTGCGATTCCGTTTTCAGAAACAGAAAAAAAAAATGTTTTCCCCACAAAAATATATGCAGGCTCACATAAGCAGATTCTGTGTCAGTTTTAGCCAGTTTGATTTTATCCGCAGTGCACACGACCCCCGTGCAGGGCTTAGCCCACTTGTAGGGAGAAGCCACCTGGCGGCATGTTAGAGAATGAAGAAGGCACAGGAAGGGCCAGTGGCATCCGTGGTGTCAGGTCAACGCCATCATACCCGCCTGCTCCATGAAACACAAAACCCGGAAGGGCGAGGGCTTTAAGAGGGCCACTGCCTGCCAATGTCACCGGGCTGTCCCCTGGCTGTCAGCATCCCGACCTGAAGCGCCTGCTGCTTATGCCCCCTCCCACACCTCCTACAAGAAGAAAAAAAAAGGGGGGGGGACTATTTTGCATAGCCCTTCTTTTGACCACTGTTTCATGCAGTTGTGGGTCCGCGATCGGAGGGAAGAGACACGACCTGGGCCAGTGTGGCTTTTTTTTTCTTCCGCATGAAATTAGTTGGCCAGTGGTGCCATTTTGGGGGCTGTTCAGCGTCCTCTCCTTGTGTCTTTGTTCCTGTCTGTTATTCCAGGGGCTGATAACCACAGGATACGTTTTCTAGGTTCCCCTGCCAGGTGGCTTCCAGCTGGAATCGGTAGGAGACTACAGGGTGGGAGAATTTCCACGGTCATCTCTCCTTTTGCCTTCTATTTCTCGTGGGGTCTTCGGCACGGGCTGCGTTTTTCATTTGCCTTTAGACCTGCTATGGCTTCAGGGTGAGCCTGATCCCGGTATTGACTCTTCTTGCCTGGCCAGCCCCGGGTTTGCAGAAGTTCAGCCCTGACGGCGGAAGCCAGCCCTGTGTCTGTTTTCGCAAGCCACGCTGTGACAGCGGTGTGCACCTGTGTAGGCGTCGTCTCTAACTGGCAGTGACAGAGTATTGTAGTTGGGACAGAGACCTAGCGGCCTGAAGCCTAAATTCTTACTCTCTGGACCTTGGCAGGGAAAGTTTGTCTTCCTCCCACTCCAGCCCGGGGAGGGTTAGGCTGTCCTTTTTTGCTGCTTACCTTAGGTATTCTCAGCGTTGCCTCTTTGGTCTCTCGGCCGTCCCGCACCTGTTCTCTGCACGATATTCCCTCCACCTTCGGTCCCAGGAATGGTTTTCTTTTTCTGGTGGGTTCGGATACAGCCTATCAGGCAAAGCCTTCGCTTTTGGCTTTTTTTGGGTACTTTTAGAATGGTCACTACTTTGCAAATATCAGGAATCACATGATGATGGTTCTGCGTGAATTTAGGTTTTATCCTCTCTGCCTTCTTTCCCTTTTTCTGCTTTCCTTTTTTTCTCCTTTTTGCTCGATCTGTCCCTCTGTTTATTTAAAAAAATTTTTTTGAGTGTTTATTCATTTTTGAGGGATACAGAGCATGAGCGGGGGAGGGGCAGAGAGCCAGAGAGGGAGAGACAGAATCCGAAGCAGGCTCCAGGCCCTGAGCTGTCAGCACAGAACCCGATGTGGGGCTCGAATTCATGAGCTGTGAGATCATGAAGTGAGCCGAAGTTGGACGCTTAACCGACTTGAGCCACCCGGGTGCCCCTCTCCTTCTGTTTACATCTGACATCTAGGACTTCTGGAAGGCAGTCTCTAAATTTAGGTAACTATCTCTACCTATCTATCTTTCTAATCGAAATCTGTCTAATATATCTATATCTCTTTAACCTAATTTACTTGTCTGAATGTCTGTGTCTGTCTGCTTGTCTGTCTATCTATCTATCATCTATTGGGCATGGGCCCAATGCTGAATATCTTAACCCTGATGCCTCTGCTGCCTTGCTGTGAAGTCAAGGTCAGCATT